GAAGGAAGGAAGGAAGGAAGGAAGGAAGGAAGGAAGGAAGGAAGGAAGGAAAAGTTCTTTACCATATCTTTACTGTATAATAAAAAGCATTAGCAAGTAACATTTTTTTCCTTGTTGGGGTGGTAGGAGTATTGGGGCAGAGTTTCACTACATGGCTCCAGCTGGCCTGGAGACCGATAGATAGGCCAGGCTCATCTCATGGTTTACAACGATCCTCCTGCTTCTTCTTTCCAAGCATAAGGAATATAGATATAGAGTGCTACACACTTAAATGACATTTTTTAATCTATGAGGGTTCACTCACAAATTACATATACTATAAAAAATTACATATACTATATGAAACAAAATAACTAAAAAGGTTTCTTATAAACTTCATAGATTCTATCATTAAAGCAAAACACTAGTTTATGAACTATAAGAAGACTTTTCCTCAGTACATTATATTTCCTTAAAACCTTAAAGAATCCCAGGAATTTATTTGGGGGAAAGTCCCATCTAAGAAAAGCTCTGAAAACAGCTGTGTACCTTAGGCCACTTTCATCTAAGTCAGAGGTTACCCAGAATCTAGGCGAAGGAACAAGCACCTCAACTCCAGCTATGTGGGAGGTCGAGACAGAAGGAGATCTCCCTGACTGAGAAATACAAGACTAGTGTAATCTAACCAAGGGAGTTCCCTTTAGGAAATGGTGGCCCTGTGCCTTTAATCTCAATCAGGAGGTGGAAGCAGGTGAATAATTTAGGATCTTAAGGATATCCTGGTCCATTCAGTAAATTTTAGCCAACCAAGGCTACAGAGTGAAACCCTGTCTTAAAAAAACCAAAATACAATCTTTTTTTAAAGTGACATTCCCCACCTCAGGAAAAGAAAAAGTTAACAAGAATTTAACACACAAATTTGTACCTTAAAGGTATACATGCATGTGCACAAGTGCAGGTAATATCAGAGGCCTCGGATCTCCTAAAGCTGTAGGTGCAAGCTGTTTTGAGTTACCCAACCTGGGTGCTAGGAACCAAACTGGGGTCCTCAGGAAAGGCAGCACGTGTTCTTAAACCACTGAACCTCTCTAGTTCCTCAACACTTTAGAGTTTTATTATCAAAACACTTGCCAGGACTTTGATTCATATAAAAGGTTTTAGTAACTTAGAGTTATGAAATATGACTACAAAAACACAAGCCTTGTCTAACACATACAGAAAAAAAGATACTTCATAAAAATTATTAATGTACTGATTTAGTTGTGTGTCAAGACAATGCTGATACTGAAATTAAACGTTACAAAGATTAACCCTAATGTAGATTAACCCTAATCCTAATTTCAGGAATTACACAAACTAAGCACACCAAACCTTTTAAGAATAACATTAGCAAATATGAATCATACATATAAGAGAAAGAAAGTCACAAGTGGACAATAAAACATTTTACATTTAATATACATTTCTGGCTTAATAGCACAAGAGACATTTTCTGAGCAAAAGAATACGATAAGTTGTTGCAGCTCACAAATGATAATTTCAAAACAGAAAAAATAAAATAAAATTGGAAAAATAAGTTTGAGGAGTAACTAAAACTAAGCATTTACCTAAACATTACTTGTCTATATATTCTCTTTCTAGTAAACAGTAAATTGGAACATAAAAGTAGCAGATTCAAAGCAGTTACTGAAATAATAAAACTGACCATTTAACCACTTTCAGTCTTTGTTACATTCTTAAGCAATCTCTTTTAATGACTATTCTTTTTTGTATATGGGTAATAATCTTATAATCTCATACAGCATAAATTTACTTAAATTCACCCTTTAAGTTTAGGTGCTCATACCTATGGCACTGAAAGCCAAAAGTAAGAAGAAAACATTAACAAAAAATTTAACCTTAAATGGTTACCTAAGAGTTCCCTGGCAATTCACTTTGAGAATCAGCAACTGACAAATTCTATCTCCAGGAAAGCACCAACTAATTGAATCACATAAGAATTTAATTCAAGCCAGGAAGGTGCCTTTAATACTAGCACTTGGGATTTCTTGAGCTCAAAACCAGCCTGTTCTACATAATGAGTTCCAGGCCCATCAAAGCCATATACTGGGACCCTCTCTTTTAAAAATATAAATATATAAATAAATAAATGAGCAAATACATAAATAATTTTAGTTAAACTTTACCAGCATTAATACATTTTGAAATCAGAAATGACCAAACAAATGGCATAAGATACTATATTTGACCTTTTACCACTTCTGCTCTTGTTCATTAAACTGGAAACACTGGCCTTACTATTGTCTACCGAGTTGGTTTTTAACCTTGCTGTTCCTTCAGGGAATGCTCTTCTGGCAGTACTGGCTCAACCCTGACCTCAGAAGGAGGTCTTTTCGTCTGTTCTCTGAAGCAGTCTCTCCTGTAGTATTCAGAGTCAAACACCTCACACAAGTACTCAATAATGACTGAATGAATCTGTAAGCCTACATACAATTTCAATACAATACAAAAACAAATCTTTTAACTTAAAAAAACATATGCTAGCGAAATACTTGATATAGAGTACCATAATAAAGTTTAAAAAAATTCAAACTTTTCAGTAGATTTTTATAGAAAATTCTAAGTATAAAATTAAATCTTAACTAAGAAATCACAACAAATATATTATGATTTCATGTCACATGAGTTTATTAATCTCTAATATTCACAAGTAAAGACAAAAGTAACATTCTTATTTCTGAAGTACATAGACACTTATACATATGTATAGATTTTCAAATATAAGGGCTATGCATCAAAATACAAAAATTCAAACTAAAATTAAAAGTGTACCTAACCTATAACATCAAATACCATCACTTACGACACAGAATTAAAAGTTGGCCAATCTATTTCTGAAAAGCTAAAAAGAAAAAAAGGAAAGAGTCTACATTCCAAGCTAATCAGGAAGTTGAAAAAAGAAAATTCCTAAAGCCCAAGAGTTCTAAGTCTAAGCTGAAAACAACAGAGCAAGAGTGACATAAATACTAGATTTAAAAAAAAAAAAAAAAAACAAGACCTGCATGATCTTCAGCTCCTCAATGGCTTTAAATGTCCCAATGACACAGCATCAGCATAGTTGCAAATTAGTCAAAACACTTATAAATTCAAACTCAGATTAGAAAGAAAAAAAGAGCAAAGCACACAAACAATATCACACAGATCTATTAGCACTCTAATAGTCCTTAAAAAATAAATGTTTCAACAGAAAATGCTAGAGAATAAAAATTTACCATCTGCTACTCACATAAAACACCTGGAATAAATAACCTCTGCCGTCAGTGTAACTTACCGTTACAGATTTCAGTGTCATGCCATGGTAGGTACCCATAGTATCAATCTTAAAGCCTTCCGTTTCTACAAAGAAAAAGTTTACTATAATTTATGCATTTTATGACAGATAAAAATTTCAATCATAAATTATAAAAATAAATTTATATTTAAAATACTGGATAATTTACATTACAGTGAAATGCTGTTTTGAAATGCCTTGAAAATACTATACACAGTTTTATCACGTTTCCAAATATTAAAAACTTTATGATACTAGTTGCAAAAGCATATTCAACAAATTCACTTATTGCATAAAATCTGGCTAAGATTATCTTTCAAATTTTGTTTTTTTAAAAAAAATATCACACTAAAGAGCTATAGTGAAAACTCAGCAGATACAAGTAGTAGCTACTCTTTGCAAAAGACCCAGGGTAATTCCCACCACCTACAATCAGCCCACAACAGCCTTTACTTCAGTTTCAGGGAATCCTAGGCTCTGTTCCTGCTCCAAGAACACTGCGTACATATGTGATGCACAGCCACACACATAAAAATGAAATAAAATAAAAATTTTAAATAAAATTTAAATCATACTAAATAAAAATACTTGTAACCCCATTATTTTTACAACTACTAAATGATTATACCATTTAAAGCATGTAAAAAAGTAAGTTCCTAAATTACAAAAACTTTTGTTCCAAAGTTTAATCTAAGGGATGTATTATTATACATTTAATCTAAGGGATGTATTATTATACATTTAGTAGAAAACAATGCTATAAACAATGATGAGTTTCAGAATACAAATGTAACATGCTCTTCTTCCTTGTTTCTTTTAAACATAAGTGTTCAATTCTATACATACACAACAATTTATTTTCCATCCCAGTTTTGGCTTTTGCTATGGTCAATCAACTAACAGCAGTCAATTTAGGACTTTGACAATATTTTACCAGTGAAAGAATGATATAAACATGCCATGTTACTGAAAATAAAACAGGTACTGTTTAATTTCATCTAGGTTATTATGTGACTATCAGTAAAATATTTTTAAATGAAAAAAAATCCTCATATAGTATGTTCTAATCTTTTTGTTAAAAATCATATAGCAAATATTTTTCAAACTACAGACCATAAACCTTTTTCTCAACTATAAAATCTTGCAGCTGTGTTGTCAAACAAGATGAAGAATAAATGTGTGTACATGGAGAATCTGAAATTGGCCCTTCTAGGACTGGATTTGCTATGAACAGCTCTAAGTAATTCATTGCATAAGGGAACGCCACAGTGAATATACGGCACCTGTTCTCCAAGTGTCTTTATGTGGTAAATTAAGTCAGCACACACAATTTACTGCATCAAAGCCAGACGTCCTTTCTTAAAAGTTGCCCTAAGACTTCAGCTTATACAGAAAAAAAAAAAAAATAGTAAATGGTAACTCACTAACATTTTGCTAATAACAAAATGGCGCACAACTGCATTAGCTAGACTGTCAATCAGACTATCACACTTGCTTCAACTCTATGCTTCCTTTATAGTTAGGAAACATTTATAGTTAAGGAAACAATTTAATATGCAATATTCTCCATCCCAAAATTCTTTATATCCAGAACTAACATCAATAATAGCCAACATTTCTGGGTAGCTTATTACATTATCAAACATTATTCTAGAAACTTCATCTTTAGCACCAGGTTTATCCCCAAAGTAACTCTATAAAATAAGTTATGAGTACTATTAATATTTAATTAGAGATATGAGGTAACAGACAGACTACAGTACTTCAACTGTAATAGTAAAATCCACACAAAAATTAACTATGACACAACTTATCCGGATCCAGAATCAAAGCTACCAACAAGAGATTAACCAATTTAGTTCTGTAAAGTTCAACTACTATTTTTAGATATTGAAGGCTACAGGACTTCTGTCAAAATTACTCAACAGAGCAGGCAGACTTACTTAGCTATAGATAACACATAAATAAGTAAATATGGCTAGGTTTAAACAACAACAAAAAAATCCTTTAAGAAAACAGATGATTAGGGCTGGAGAGATGGCTCAGAAGGTAAGAACATTGGCTGCTCTTCCAGAAGTCCTGAGTTCAATTCCCAGCAACCACAAGGTGGCTCACGACCATCTATAATGAGATCTGATGCCCTCTTCTGTCATGGAGACACACGTGCAAATAGAACACTCATATGTATAAATAAATAAATCTTTTTAAAAAATAAAAAGAAAACAGATGATTGAACTAGATCTCAACTATAGAAGTTACTTGACAACCTTGTTCTTAAATATCACATTATACTACCATTCAAGCTCGGCATGACTACAGTTAGAAGAAGAAACAAGAGAAGTAACTTACCTTCTTTGCCTTTGAATCTTTCCTGGTCATATCTGTTGTAGGCAGCTGGAATAGGCTGCTTTGTACGTAATGTGGGATCCTCGAAAGAAATAAAGAGTTGCAAATTAATATTTTTAAGTGATACTTATTTAACACTCATAATTAAAACCTGATATGGACAGTTACAATATATATTATAAAATATGTGTTATTCCCAATATGGCACAGAAAACAGTGTGATAAGTAGATTATTTGGCATTTGATGACTAGGATTCAGTATTATTTGCTGCTAGAAAATGACCACCCCTACACCAAGAATAAAGACAATTTCAAGAATACTTGTATCAAAATTGCAAAAAGAATATGGTAAACATATGCATTCTAATTACTTAAATGACTTTGTGAAATAATATTCTCTCTCCAATGATAATCTGAACAGAGTGAGTTCCAAGACAGCCAGGGCTACACAGAGAAACCCTGTCTGGAAGGAGGAAGGAAGGAAGGAAGGAAGGAAGGAAGGAAGGAAGGGAGGGAGGGAGGGAGGGAGGGAGGGAGGAAGGAGAAGGGAAGGGAGGAAGGAAGAAAGGAAGAGGAAATGAAATTGTGGTCAGCCAACTAAAAATATCTGTCTAAATATTACCAATAATTCAGCATCTTGCAACGTTAAATATGAATGATTTCATGCATAAATAAAATTACTATTAACTTCTGAGGCTATGTTAAGGACTCTCAATTTCTTTCCAAACTCTACATAAAAGTGAATCAATATGAATTGTACTTTCTGCCTTTCTTGAGTCTTGAGAACAGGCAGAAGGATTTACAGCAAACTGGAGGGTGTTTCTGAATTTCAATGGAGACTATATATCATACATGAATTTAGGGTCTGGAGGGCCCCAAGTGACACCTCACACAGTGAGGCAGTCAGCCATCAGAACAGCTATAGCTAAAGTACAATCAAAGAGCCACATGGTGGGTACCAAGGGAAAACAAATATAACAAGATGAAATGTTCAGCAAAGATATCTAATAAGAGATCCAAGCTGGAAGGTAACACTGATTTATATTTTTAACAATAGTTAACAATTCTCAAGCAATAAATAGGCCAGCTATTTATTATTTATTTAGTTAAACTAAAAGAATTACTTAGAAAGCCTTTCCTAGTTTGCCCCTTTTCTCACTCAGATATATCTCAAGAATTATCCAAAATTACTGCTAAAATAACTTTTTAAACTGGGGAGTGTCTTTATATCCTTCAAGTATGTGGAAGAAATAAAACTTTACACCCTCCTGATGTAAAATATAAGATGTAAAAATTACAACAATAAAATACAAAATATATAGCGCTTTCTTAAGACAACAACATAAAGCAGAAACGATTCTTACCACAGTAGCTGCATTTGGAGCAGGCCGTTGTTCAGGGGCACGCCCTTCTTCTCTGGCTTTAACAGATTGAAGAATTGCAAAAATATTCTTGGAAAAATTCTAAAACACAAATAGATTCTAATTAAACCCAGAGTACATGTGCAAAGGCCACAATTTACCCATGAAGCAATTTATATTGAAACTTGCTTCTAATTTTTTTTCTAATTCATAAGGTGCTATATTATTGCTATGGATTGGATGTGGTCCATCTCTCAAACATTCCAATGCCAGATAGGTATTCCTATGCATGGGGATGTGGAGGCAGAGCAGCCTTTGAAAGGCAGAGCCAATGAGGAGCAATTACATTACTGGGGCACTGCTGTCAGAAGGGACTGATGCTAGACTTGAGAAGTTAGTTCTCTGTGTTGTTACCACACCACAGACCAACAGAAAGAAAGAGAGAGAGGAGAGAAAGAGAGAGGAGAGAGAGAGAGAGAAATAGAGGAAGGAGGGAGAGAGGGAGGGAGGAAGGGTGGAAGGAAGGGTGGAAGGAAGGAAGGAAGGAAGGAAGGAAGGAAGGAAGGAAGGAAGGAAGGAAGGAAGGAAGGAAAAAAAGCTGTCCAATCTTCCACTTTCAGTATCCAAAACTTGAGTTAAATAAGTTTCCTCTCCTTTTCCCACCAATGCTAGGTACTCATATAGTGAAGCAGGTGTTCTACACTAGCCTATGTCCCCAGCCCTAACCTATGAGGCTCCTACCTTTGGTATTTCATTGAGTCAAAAGAAAACAAGATAATACAATTACATATAAAAGTAAAAAGCAACTACTTTGTGTCTGGTTATAACAAATCATTCTTAGAACAATTTAATATAATTTGTATTACTCTGCATCTACTCAAATATGTAACAAAGAAAAAAGTAAGAATTTAAATGTAACAGATTTGTATCAAAGGGCGCTACTAAATCTCAAAATGAAATGAATTTCTGTGCTACATTTAGATTGCCACAGCCTTGGTTAGATGCTCAAAGGTTAAAGATACTGTAGGAGTCACTGCACATTTTTCAAATCTAGAAAGGTAGGAAGTAATCACAAATAAACTTTTCCATGAATATTCAACACTCCCAACTAGGTGATTATTCCTTCCTTCATGAAATAACCTTCTTTAGCCCCTGATACATTATTCTCCCCTGAGATTCTGCCTAATGACTAACAGTATGCCTCAATGACTAACAATGCTTTCGGACTCTTCCCCTCCCTCCCCACTATCAATCATTCAATGGTTTAAGGAATGCATCAGCATCTACTGTAACTATCTACCTGAAGTGACAAAAAAATTCAAGGATGATCAGCAAACATATAGTTCCCGCTCTCATGTGCTTCAAATGTAATACAATTCTCTTTTCTAGAACTGAAGCCTTCTCCGGCCAGCAAGGTAACTCAACAGGTAAAGCACTTGTGACACAAGCCTGTCTCCCTGACCTCAATCCTCAGATCCTATGTAAAGGTAAAAGAAGAGACCAACTTCACAATATCCTCTTTGACCGCCGCATTTGCACCACAGCAAGTGCATGCACACGTGTGTCTGAAGGTGTGCGCACATACACACAAATAAATGCATTTTAAAAAAGAAACCTGAGGGCTGGAGAGATGACTCAGTTAAGAGTACTTTTTGCTCTTTCAGCCGACCCAGGTTCAGCTGCCTGCACCCACATGGTAGTTTACAACTATCCATAACTCCAGTGCCAGGGAATGTGATACCCTCTTCTGCCCACCATACAAGCAAGTGCATAGTACACTCATACACATAAGTCTTTTTAAAGAAAAAGAAAGAAATTTAAGTATTCTGTTTCTCTGGCTTTGACTACTCGTCCCACTTTATCATTCCATCTACCTTACTAGTGCATACTTTGTAATCTCTCTCACCTTTATTCCTGTTTCATTTTCTGGTAGTGCCAGCATTAACCTCACAGCCTCCAAGTACTGCACTACTCTGAAATACACTCTTTTTCCGGATTATTTTGACTAAGTTACCTGCCCTTGCTGGATATCTTCCTTCCTTTGCATGTATTATAGTATTATCTTTAGCATTATTTCTGTGAGGCTAAGGACAATCATCAATCACTGCCTAGCTTGCACATATTAAATATTACGCAAAAATACATAAAAATAAGGTTTTAACAGTAACTGTATACACTAATATAATTACCACTATACTAACTGTGATACTAACTAGTTCCTGATTCTTTACAGACTCAAATACAGATCTTAGAACTACTTTGCCATCCTGGAAACTACTGAAGACTCTAAAGGCCTTTAGGCTAAAGTTAAATTATAACTAAAGATTACTAAAGATTTCTAAAGATCACACTAAAGATTAAAGATGACAAAATTTTCATGTTTGAATTAAATCTTTAAAAACGAAGAAAAAAGCAATATTCCATGCAAACAAATTGCATTTTTTGAAAATTATTTCCAAATGTACTAAAAAAGTAATAAGACTAAAACTTTAAGTTCTGTAAGTGTGTCTAATATCTGGCATACTAAATAATAATTGCATTCTAATATTTATTTCTGGATGTCCACTATGTTATTCTGTTCGATCAAAGATATCAAGAAAATCTAACTTCACACAGTAAAGGGAGAAGCATTAAAATAGCTTCTCTGATGGCTGAATATATTTTGTATACCAAAACAAATAGTTTCCTAAAGGAAACTGCATATAGAAGCTATATTTTTTAAGTGTATTATTTTTAAGTGTATCAACATCTCATACTTTAAATGAATTTTTCATTCATGCATTGATCCTCAGAAAAATATCCATGACTGAGTTACACAGTTATGCATATTTTCCAAACATTAACGCATTGTATAACTCAACATTTAAAAATATATATTTGCTCATGCTTTTATATTTATTAAAGAATATTTTAGTATTATTTACAAAAATCTCATCAAAACATTCTAAGAATTAGAAAACTGGAAAAATCATAGCAGAAAGAAACTATCTAAAATTTTGAGTTTCTCATGAAAGTTCATATTTAATCACTGGCAACAAGTACTGTAAGCTACTTTTCCTGACTCTTTCAAGATTATGTGTATAAAATACGAAGGTCTGAAAAATAAAATGCAATGGCTTTTTTTTAAGTTACTTTAGTTAATAACCCAAGTCATAACACAAATGCTGTTCATAAAGAAACCACAGCTTTTATACTGTGTAGGACTGCTTTATCTATTCAAATTTCATTAGGTATAGTTAAGGGTCATACTTCAATTAAGGTTATAACTGACAAACAAAGAACACCATGATTTGCTAGTAATGCTGGGTGCCTCATGCCAAGTACCAGCAGTTTTAACATCCATTCCTGCTAACGTCAGCACAGTGCCAAAATGCAAATGTAATCTCAGTTCTACTGCTTAAACAAAAAATTAGATCATTTTTAAAGTGATAAACTGAATGAGACATGAACTCTAGAAGGATCAATCCAAATAGCATCAGCAAGTTTAGATATGAGAATTACATGTGATTATCATCTTGTACAGATCTCTTTATACCAATAAATTACTTTGGTCTGAAAATATCCCCCAAAGCTATGCTGGGAATTTTACTCTCAATACAGTAGTATATAAGGGTGGAATTTTGTTTGGTTTGGTTTTGGTTTTAGTTTTCTGAGACAGGCTTTCTCTGAGTAGCCTTGACTATCCTAGACTCACTTCGTAGACCAGGCTGGCCTCAAACTCACAGAAATCTGCCTTCCTCTGCCTCCCAGAGTACAGGGATTACAGGCATGCGCCACCACATATGGCTAACGGTGGGATTTTTAAGAAGTGATTTTTAAAATGGATTAGGTGGAGACTAGATGAATAGCTTAGTGATTTTAAGGGTCATTTTCTGATAAAATAATAAACTCAGCCCTCTTTTTTGTTCCCTCTCTCTCACCCATGTGATACCGTCCGCCATTTTTGATGCAGTAAGAAAGCCCTCATCAGATGCAGTTCCTTGATCTTGGACTTTCCAGCCTCTAGAATGGTGAACCACAGAAATGTCTATTCATTATAAATTACTCAGCCTGTGATACTCTGTTACAGCAGCACAAAACAGAATAAGACATAATAATTTAGTGGCTCAGAAATTTGTTTGTTACAAATTAATCTGTGATATTCTGTTATAGGAGCATAAAACAGAGTAAGACATTTAATATAATTTAATGATACTATAAAATCAGGTTGCTACAACTAGAGTCTATTAACTAAATAAGAATGAAAACTTGAACTTTCTTGCTCCTTAAACTCAGAAAATAAAATTCTGATAATAGGTAATAATGAAGGTGAGTCTAAAGTCTACCCTGGGCCGGTGCTACCAAACCTGACAATCTGAACTCAATCCCAGGAATCCACACAGTGAAAGGAAAGAACTGACTCTCAAAAGTTGTCTTGACCTCCACATGCACACTGTGACAAGCGCACATGTGCACACGTACAAAAAAAACAAATGTACAGTCCATACTACACTACATGTCTATAGATTATTTTTAGAGTTTGGCAGATGAAAACAATATATATGGCTAGAGATCAGTGATCAAAATGTTTAATTTTGACCTTTAAAATGCTAACATTTTAAAATAAAAATTTTAAGTTAATATTCATAGAAGAAACCTCACTTGAAAAAAATTGTTAAATGATTTGTTTTTAAAAGGTTAAAGTGGTACCAACATTAAATAACAATACTTTTAAACTGATACAATCCTGCCACCTAGAGTTGACAGGAAAAAAGTTCATCTCAACAATTTAAAATTTTAATGTTTCAGATAAAAGAAAACTATAAGTTTAAGACTAAGTTAAAATGAACAACAACAAAAAAACAGGCATAGTGATACACGCCATTAATCCCAGAGGCAGAGGCAGGCGGATCCTTCTGAATTAGAGGTCAGCCTAATCTACATACTGTGTTCCAGGTCAGCTAGAGCTACAAAGTGCAAACCCTATCTCAAAACAAAATGAAACAAAAAAGGAACTAAATCACAGTGTTAATCAAGTATTAGACAAATCACACAAGGAAAATGAGAATAATACCATTTAAATGTAAATAACAAAAAAAAAAAGGAAAAATGAAAATTTCTCATAATCGCAATTTCTTTGTAATTCTAGGCTCTGAAAAACTGTTCCACTTTTATTCTTTAAATATGTTTATGAGGACACACGTACCATACTGCATGTGTAGAAGAGAAGAACATTTGGAGTCAGTTTTCTCCTTTCATCATTACACTGGTTCCAGGAACCAAATGCAGATTACCAGGCTTGCATGGCTAGCTAGCACCTTTATTCCTGAGTTATTTCACTACTCTGGAAAATTCCTTTTCTCTAAACTAAATTAATGCTATTACTACTATTGTGTGTGAATACACATGCCATATATATGTGAACACACACATGCCATACCATGTGTGGAGGCCAGAGGACAACTTTGTGGAACTGGTTTTTTTCCTTTCACCTTTACATGCTCTGGAGACTGAATGCTATGTGGCCCACAGAAAATGCTTCTTAAAATATAAGACAAGAGCAAAACAAATACAAATAACTATTTTCCTGAAACCCTTTTCTAGTAACTTTATTCTTAGCAAACAGGACAGTAAATAAAAAGCTAAAGTCACAATATTATTCTACAATCAAAACCAGTTGGGGCAGGTGGCACATATCTGTAGTGTACTTAGTCAGCAAAAGCAGGCCCAAACCACTAAGAAAGACCCTACCTCAAAAAAAAAAAAAAAAAATCCCAGATAGTATCTAAACAACATCTATTTCAACATTATAAGGTCAGTTTCACAATAATTTCACACAGTTCTTCAAATGTCTCTACCAAAGTACCACTGTTAGCAACCATGCATCAAAGGAGAATCAATGTCTAAGAAAACTTAAGAAAGCCCACAACAGAGAAAAATATGTTCACATAACAAACAGAACTGGTGCATATTTTTAAAGAAATCAGCTGACACACTAGAGCATCTAGTATCACATTTTTTAATTTTGGATGTGTGTGTGCACATGTGTAGGACTACAGAATGCGCATGAAAACAGGAGGAAAACTGCTAAGTGGATGCTCTCCTTCCACCTCTATCTGGGTTTGAAAAATGCTCAGATTGCCAGACCCTCATTCAAATTCTTATACTTCAAAATTTAAAGTGCACAAGAAGTTTGGCTGGACAAAGCATAAATAAACTTGAAATGAAATTTGAAACCTATTAATAAATTTTAAACACTCCTATAGCATTCCAGAGAATGAGTAAAATATTTTAATTACCTTTCCTGTGCTCTGTAAGATAGTTGTTCTTGTCCTCCACACTCTTTCTCTGCTGACAATATCTCTGGTCACATCTACCTCAGCATCCACAAAACTCCTCTGCTTAAGGGCAGTTATGTCATCATCCAAATCAGTCTTTATAGTAGATCTTTTCTTAGCCATAATTTTGGCTTTGATTGCAGCAATTTTTTCCACTGACATGGCTTCAGACAAAGACCTAAATAAAAAAATTTATTTTTTAAATTTCACAGCAAAGATTCCTTCAGTACAACATATACATATTGCACTTAAATTGATGTGGGGGGCACTGGAACTGGCAATAAGTTTTTCTATAAAATTGTATATTTTCTAGGTTATAGTCACACAAGATTTTTTTACAGGTAACAATTCATAAATACTCTAAAATCAAGCTAGTAATGTCTTCATTTAAATTTTTGAGTATGAATGCTTTGCCTACATGTACGTTTGTATGTTGTTTGTAGCCTGGTGTCCAGGAAAGTCAAAAGAAAGATCAAATTTCTTGAAACTGAAGCTACAGGCAGTTGAGAGCCACCATGTTTGTGCTGAGAATCACACCAGGGTCCTCTGGAAGAATGGCCAGTTGTCTTAACCACTGATTCATCTCTCCAGGTTTCAATCAGTAATTTCTTTAAAATTGAAAACTAACAATTATAAAATTCCTTGCTTATTTTTAAATCTTCCCCAGAAGAACAGAATAACTTCTATTCTGAAATAGCTTGTATTTCCTGAGGCTTTACAGTTGTATCTATACCCATACCTCTATATAAATGAAAATTATACATAAGCAGAGAGGTCATCTTGTAATACGGCAAGAAATTCATTCTGTTAAAAAGCTCAAAGCTTGGGGACTGGAGAGATAGCTCAGAGGCTGTTCTTCCAAAGGTCCTGAATTCAAGTGCCAGGAACAACATGGTGGCTCATAAGCATCTATAATAAGATCTGGTGCCCTCTTCTGGCCTGGAGGCACAAATGCAAGCAGAATACTGTATAAATAATAAATAAATTTTTAAAAAAATAAAAAGCTCAAAGCTTGGTTTTTCCATGAAATATATTTCAAGGCTTTAAAATTATAGGCCACAAATACAACTGAGTTAAGAATCAAAACAAAACTTATATGCCATAATAATCCTTTAATTTGTGGAAGACAAACATCGCACTTAATGTGATTAAAAGGTCATTACAAAGACCTTGCAAGTTTAAAAACAAATCACATACTGAAACAAACATATTTGAACACATTTTATGTCTTCAATTTACATGATTCTCAAATGGACAAAAAGCACAGAAGCTATGCTTTCACAACAATAAAGCACTTTTAACATTAAAATCAGACTTCATAAAAAAAATCATCTTAGGTTTAATCTTACTTAAAAATTACTTTTATTCATCAATAATGACACAAATAAAAACTGTGGCATGCCATGAAAAAAAGTAAACTTCTCAGTGTTTTCAATTTCCTGGCATGTTTGTCTTTGAGATTCAGGGAATCAGTATTGCAGGGGCTGGAGAGAAGGTTCAGAGATGAAGTGGTTAAGAGCACCGGATGCTCTTGCAAAGGACCCAAGTTAAGTTCTCAGCACCTACTTGATGGCTCACAACCATCCAATAACTCAAGTTCCAGGGAAACATTATTATGCCTTCTTCTGACCTCTATGCACAACAGACACAAGGTACACAGACATCCATGTGGGCAAAATGATCACATATACATAAAAACTAAAATAATCCAATCTAAAATTAAAAAAAAAAAAAATCAGCAGCCCAGGAATCCTCAGTTTTCAATTTTAAATATACTCATAACAATCTTCATAACAACTCCTCTCTAACATGAGTAGCAAAAATTCTTGCATAAAGAATAAAATAAATTAAATTCAGTAATACAAAGAACTACAAACAACAAAAAAGAAAAAAGGAAGGAAGGAAAGTAAAAAAGAATGAAGATTCAATGAAAAATGTAACTTAAAATTCTGGTCTCCAACATATGGTATATACTCAATCATTAAGTGGTTATTAGACATATAACATAGAATAGACACACTAAAATCTAAATAAGCTAAACAACAAAGAAGATACTAGGGAAGATGCTCAATCCTCACTCAGAAGCACAAACGCCATGGACATTGGAAGTAGAAGACAGGGAACAAGACAGAAGCCTACCAGAGGGCCTCTGAAAGACTCTACCCAACAGAGTATCAAAGCAGAGGCTAAAACTCATAGCCAAACTTTGGACAGAGTGCAGGGATTCTTATGAAAGAAGGGAGAGATAGAAAGACCTGGAGGGGACAAGAACTCCAAAAGGAGAACAACCCGAACCAAAAAAGACTGGGCCCTGGGGAGCCCTGCAGAGACTGATACTCCAACAAGGACAATGCACTGGAGAGGACCTAAAACTCTTGCTAAGATGTAGCCCATAGACTCGGTTTCCTAGTGGGTTCCCTTGCAAGGGGAGCGGGGGCTGTCTCTGACATGAACTCAGTGGCTGGCTCTCTGATCACCTCCCCGAGGGGTGCAGCCTTGCCAGACCACAGAGGAAGATAATGCAACCAGTCCTGATGAGACCTGATAGGCTAGGGTCAAATAGAAGTGGGAGGACCACCTCACCTATTAGTGGACTAGGAAAGGGGCATTGGGGGAGAAGGTGAAGGGAGGATGAGATTGGTAGGAGACAAGGGAGGGGGCCACAGCCGGGATACAAAGTGAATAAATTGTAATAAATAATAAATAAAACATTTTTTAAAAATTAAAAAAAAAATTCTGGTCTCCAATAAGATGACCTTTTATGGAAGCACATGAGGCCATGTATTTAACCGAGACTCATAAAAAACAGAACCAGGCCAGCAATACATGAAAACTCCACCAGCACAAGCAAGGGTCAAGGTCTTGCGGCAACAGCTAAGCATACAGAAGAATCACTAACAGGGTGACAAGACGTGTAACTGTGAAAGAATATATACTGATCTGCCATTAGAAATCTCAACATGGTGTCCAAACAAGGATGGTACAAAACATTAAAGAAAAATGCCATACCAACTCAGTAATTATGCACTTGCTCATCAATTTGGAAAATGTATCTCCAGTAGCATTGTAACAGGCACAAATATTTCCCGAGAAATTCTAAATGTTGTCCCTCCTATACCCTCCTATCCTGCTGAAAACCAGCATACAGTAAAAACTATGGGTGAGGATAAATGCTGTAATTTTTTAAAAAAAGACAATATGCTTGTCTGGTGAACTTTCTTCAGTCCACCTATAACACAGTTCACAGAAGCCCTGTCTTTTCACTGGCATTTTAAAATTAGTTTTTATAGAACAAAATTCTCACTTGATTTCTAATGTAACAGGGCACTATAAATGGATCACCAAAGGTAATGTATATTTGTTATATTTTTTTCTCCTACTGTGCATTGTTGTGAAATTTATAAGTGGATCCTTACTTCTATCTCTTTTTTACTATTCTTTTTGTTTTTTACTACTTGTTTTCCTAACTTTATTTGAATGTCCAAGAACTGCTTTTATTTTAAAAAATCATATAATTTGAAAATAAACTATTCAAATTTGTATGCCATATGAACATATTGATTAGATTCCTATCTTCTTAAATCTATAACTACAAATAATTCATAGCCACTGAGTCTTATTTTACCTGAATGTAATCTTAGTACCACAACATGTTAATCTGTGTTTTCAAGAACCTGTAATTATAATTAGTGGGATATCTGAAAAGTCTTTGTTACTAAGATCAATACAAATTTATTACTACAATGTAAATTACTTGCTTTATCAATGTACTTTAACATATATTTTGGTCACTCTTTAAGAAAATGACAGAGTACCTTAAAACCTATAGAGAAAAGTATTATGCTTCAGTTACAAAACTGAACGCTTTTTCATATAATCTGGAAAAATTAATCCCTGGATGTTTAAAAACAGTGTGTTATTTTTTTATCTGACTAGTATGAAAGCATTTTATAGCAGATACTCAATGCACCTGACATCAAACTCATCTGAATATGCCCTGCAACAATCCCCTAAAATCTAAAGCATATCAGCATGATTTTAGACAAATTCAATTTGTTTTTGCTTTTTTAAGATTTACTTATGATATATAAAATGTTCTATCTGCATGTATACCTACACACCAGAAGAAGTCACCAAATCTCATTATAGATGGTTGTGAGCCACTATGTGGTTGCTGGAAATTGAACTCAGGACCTCTGAAACAGCAGCCAGTGCTCTTAACCTCTGTGCTGTCTCTCTAGCCCTCAAATTGTTTTTAATACATTTATTTTTGTGTATGCACACACACATGCAAAATAATTCAGCACAATACAAGCCATAGCCTACGTGTGGTAAAAATCAGAGGACAAGCTGCAGGAGCTGGTTCTTTCTTTCTACCATGTGGGTATGGATAGGAAACTCAGGTCACTGGTTGAGCTTGGAAGCATGGCATTTACCCAATGAGCAATCTGGCTGGCTTTCAAGCTGGCACTGGATTTTCAATTATCAGACTTCTACTTCCAGCCAAGATGAACTGCCAGTGATTGGATTAGCTCACATACCAGAAAATGAATAGCTAAAATACATGACATAATGGTTTACCAGATATTTATTATTAAACAATGATTCTCTGACAAATGAGAAACAAACAAGGGAACTCCTTAACTTCCCTGGTTTACTGCCTTAAAAACTTCCAAAACAAGTCATATAGGGAACCCTGGTAGACCACAGTGTTAATATGGTTCAGAATATTTAAGAAAGAGCTGCATAAATGTACTGCAGGAGAATGCTAACACATGAAGTAGAATGCTTAACAAAGAAACTATCTGAACCTGGAAACAACTACCACCCACTAAGTTTAAGTTGGTAATACAAGGTTTTCCCACCAACCAAAAGGAAAAAAAAAAAAAGATACGTTAGAAAGACTACTTAAAACACTATTGCTTCTAAAATCAGAATAATTAATTAATCTTTCTTCAATGTAAAGTTCCCAGGGGGAAAAAAAAATCATGCCTATGGTAAAAATTCTACAAGGATGGCTGTCTGTGTATTTAGAAATTCGTGGAGGTTAGAATGTCACAAGTCTGGGAGGGCAGGAGAGAGGGGACTAGGATCAGGTTGTAAAGAGGCTAAACAAATGAGGGAAGTAAAGAATCTCTGAAGTCTATAATCAAATTATGGGACAGGCCAGGCAGTGGTGGTGCACACCTTTAATCCCAGCACTCAGAAGGCAGAGGCAGGTGGATCTCTCTGAGTTCAAGGTCAGGCTGGTCTATAAAGTGAGTTTCAGGACAGTCAGGGCTGTTACACAGAGAAACCCTGTCCTAAATATGCAAGAAGAGGTGACCCTAAAGGGCCAAGAGAAAAAAAAATAAGAAAAGAGGAAAGAGCTATGTGGGTTAATCCGTCCTGTGTGTGCACATACCTGCCACAAGGTAGATCAGACTGTTCTTCTCTCACCAGATGTTACAGTTACATAAGCCCAGAAGCAACAGAGTTACATAACCATCAACTACAACCTCTGACACCATGAGACAAAAACAATCTTTTCTTTTTCTCAGATATTCCTCCCTACAGTCTAACAGAGAAAACTGGTAGAAAGAGCAGGGTCACTGATACAGCTGCTTGACTATTCCATTCATAAGGGTTGTGGAAGGAATCGTTAAGTTTGGAGAGAGTCCTGGAATGCTATTGAGGCAGAGCTTAATTCTCATGGGAACTCAGAAAGCCAGAATGCTCTAACACTGAGACTTAGTATGACAGCAAGGACTCAATTAGAACTTGCACAGAAACCATATCATACTATTACAAAGAATTCAGCATATTTTGTCCTTGACTCCAGATTCTGAGTGGGGCTAAATTTAAAAGTAGTAAAATAAATAGTAAGGCAGAGGAAATGTCAAGGCAACTAAGCATGGATACTGATAGCTAGTTTTAGCCAGATTTATTATAATAAATGTAAGCAAAAAAACAAGGAAGGTCTGGAAAGTCAAGTGTGCCAGAAAATAAGTTCGCATTACAACACAGTAAAGTATGGCTGTTGAAGCAATTAGGACCATGACATTTTAAGCCCAGTACATTGCATCAGAACAGGAAGGGTGCATTTAGGTTATCTCAGGAAGTAGGCAGACTGCGCCCCACTACAAGCTTAAGGGTGCGAAGATTTTACTTAACTCAGGTAAAAGACTACTACTTTGAGATCACCATGTCCCTCCAACTTGGAGCCTCAGATCAAACTCCCCAGCTTCAGTCATTCAGGAATTCAAAGAACACAGCCATAATTCTAAGGGCCCCAGCCACTATTAGCTGGTCATATCATGCCCGTTTTGCAGGCATTCAGAATGCAAAAGTTACAAACTCATGAACATTTCCACTAGATTTCAAAGGAAGACCTAAGAGGCCAGACAATGTATGGCAGAGCCTGAGAATGCATGAAGCTCTCTGCTAGTGAACCTAGAGACACAATACAAACCTTAGAAAGTTACAAGTGTCAGAAGAGCATGGATCATATGCCACAGCAAGTTAGAGGCACAGAACAGAGCTGGTTTAAGGGAGAAGTCATGTGAATTTTAACAAGCCAGGTAACAGGAATGGGGCTACCCAACCCCACTGGAACACACATATCATATCATATCACATCATATGTCACTGATGGTGGACAGGACAATGAATTTATAGAATTTAACATTTGCCCTCTCAGTTCCAGGCTTGCTTTAGTCCCATTCCTTTCTATGTTCCATCTCTCCATTTTTCAATAAGAATGTTAACTCTTGCATTGTTGTATGTTACAGGTAAACTTGTTACTAAAATTTATAGGGACTCAGAGATGAGAGATTTCCACTTCAGAAGAGTCTTTAAGCTTGACCTTCTGAATAATGCAGAAACTGTTGAAACTTCAGAGATTATCAAGGATGAACTAAATATACGTTTAGCATTATGAGATAAATATGTCTTTGGGAGCCAACAGGCATAACATAGTGTTTGAACAGGTAATGTGTTAAAGGCCTAGTCTCCAACTGATGGTGCTATTTTGGGAGTTTCTGAAAACTTTAGGAGGCTGTATTTAGCAAAGAAGTGGTTCCTTGGGAGCTACCAGCACCCTGGTCCTTCTAGTTTCCATACACACAATCCACTCCTTGTCTCCTTCCCCAACTCGTCTCCTATGTGCCATTACAATGCTTTCTATTACACACTCCATTATATACCATGATGTTCTGCCTTACTAAGCATGGTCCAGAAGTAGAGCCATGTTAACTCTAACTGAAAAGTGAGCCAAAATAAACATTCTCTATGACTGTTTTCATATTTGACATACTGATGGAAAATCATACATAATCTAGAGTAGATTCTTATAAGCAAATATCATGCCACTTTACTCAAGGAACTTCAGCACCTCTGGTTATTATCTGTGAAGAGAACCTAGAGCTAATCCCAATAGGTTACAAAGGACAACTACATTCTTCTAAACTTAGGAGTGTATACAATGAATAAAGATGCACATTAAATTGTGAGTCACATCTAAACACCCCATTTTCCACTTACCTTTACATAAAATCTATACTTATCTACTTAAGAAACCCTTACCGAATCTGTTCAGTCTGCACAATCCCTTCTTTATGGCCTTCCAAACGAGCCGCCAATCGCTCTTTATCAAGACGCACACACTCTTCATCCTAAAAATAAGTAACATTTTAAGTTTTGTTTAACTTTTACATGGCAAAATTACTACACCTAACTTCTTACCAAAATTACCACAGTACAGTTCCATGCTATACTGTACAGACAACAAGTGTATTTTGGATCATTTAAGTCTGGAACTGATTTCTGATGTTCCTTGACTTACAACAGGGCTACATTATAATAAGCCACATGTGCTGGCTACTTTTATGTCAGTCTGATACAGGCTTTAATCATCTGAGAGAAGGGAACCCCAACTGAGAAAATGCCTCCAATAAGACTAGGCTGTAAGCAAGCCTGTAAGGCATTTTCTAAATTAGTGATTGATGGGAAAGGGCCCAGCCCATTGTGGGTGATGCCATCTCGGGACTAGTGGTCCTGGGTTCTACAAAAAAGCAGGGTGAACAAGCCATGAGAAGCAAGCTAGTAAGCAGAATCCCTCTAGGACCGCTGCATCAGCTTCTGCCTCTAAGTTACTATCCTGTTTGAGTTCCTGTCCTGCCTTTCTTCAGTGATGGACCATGGATGTGAAAGCATTAACCACATAAACCCTTTTCTCCCAATTGCTTTTAGTTATGGTGTTTTGTCATAGCAATAGTAACTCAAATTAAAAATCACAGTAAATTTAAAACATAAGCAAAAAAAATGTGCTTTACACATCTACTTACTAAACAACATAGTTTCGTGTTGTTTACTTGAACATATACACTAGCCTCCATAAAATACAAAGCCTGTTTTATTAAAAAGTGTTGGATATCTCATATTTTATTGAATATTGTGCTGAAAGTGAAATAAATTCTTCTAAACACGTATGTATTGCTTTTGCATCATCAACAAACTTAGAAAAAGTATCACTGAAAACCATCCTTAAGCGTTTACAGTGTGGTGTCCAAACATCTATTCACTAGGTGCTCTCCCAACCATTACTGTCTTCACTAATGAATATATATATGCATATTCATTAATGTATACAATTTCATATTTATAATTCATCCTTTTAAAAAGCGTGCTTTGGATTTATCATGTGTAAATTTATTTGTTATATTTATACATGCACCACATGCATACCTGGTGCCTATATTAGAGCTAGAATTATGGGTGGTCAATAGAAGGTGCTGGGAACTGAGCCTAGACCTTTTGTTAGAACAAGTGTTCCTAACAGCTGAGGTACCTCTCTAGCCCCTACAGATCCATTTTTGATGAAAAATTAGCGAACTTTTAAAGGCAGTCTTCATCAAAGTTAAATTTTTCATTATGGATGGTAATTTTTTTTTCAATCTGGTACTACTGGTCTTCAAATCTATAAAAAATAAGTCAAGACACCAGAAGCAAAAAGTCAATAGCTTTCAAAGCAAGTTAACTGGAACATTAAAATCTCCTTAGAAGGGGGCTGGAAAGATAGCTCAGCAGTTAAGAGCAATGGCTGTTCTTCCAAAGGACTTGGGTTCAAAGCCCAGAACCCATATGCCAGCTCCCAACCATAATTCCAGTTCCAGGGACTTTGACACCCTCACAAAGACATACATAGAAGCAGAACACCAATATAAATAAAATAAAATTATATTAAAATAATATTCCTACAAAGTTCCCAACAGACTATTTCAAAAATCTTGACAAGGGTGTGTGGCTCATGCCTACAATCCCAGCAGCCAAGTATCAAGAGTTTAAAGACAATTTTGCCTACAAATGTGAGCTTAAGGTCAACCCAGGAAATATGATTTATAATTTATATCTGAAAGCCAAGTGAAATTGAATTTTAATTTTAAAGACATGGGGTTGAAAAAAACAATTTAATGACACTTATTTAGTCTATGTCTATATTCAACAAACAAAAAAAGGAGTAATTTCAGGGTCAATGAATAAGAGTGTATGAATCTATACATCAGCATACTTAAGACATCAAAAGAGGAAAAAATACTAGGCTTTAACTCATGCCCTATTAGTTTCCACCATGTTAAAACAGACACATTAGCTGAAATAAATAAATGCAAATATATTTTAGCAAATGCATTTAATTTTTACCATTTGTAAGAAAGTTATAATCCATGCTAATTAAGGTCCTCAAGAAACTAGTAATTTTAAAAAACCTAAATTTTAATCAAATCAGAAATCCTGACCTCAAGGTTTTTTTTTGTTTCCAAGGTGTCTTAAATATTCAAACTGCTGAACTAAATAGTAATACAAATGTTTATACTGTAACTTTGCAGATGACAGAAAAAAGATAGTTTTACTTCCTCTTGATGTTTCAAGTTACTGGTAGCTTTGGTATTTAACTTTTCTTGGGTGTTAATTTTTTTTTTTCAAATGATTACATTGTGATGTTTTCCTATTTCCAAGTAAACTAAATCCACTCACTGTTTTAACAGTAACCAGAGTCTTCTTTCCAAATAGAAATGGGGAAACTCTGTTTTACTGTCATATATCCAGTAGGCAATATGGCTCAAGAGCCACACTGTCTTGGTTCTAATTCTAGGTCTACAATCCTCAGCAAGTCACCTTTGTGTGGATCCTGTTTAGTCATAGATGTTGAATCTCAGGCTACCAAATTCAATGGGTGATACTGAAGAGTACATGACTCAATATGCCTAAAGCTCTTAAAATACTACCTTGTATAGACCAGCAACAATAAATTAGTTACCATTTCTTAGAAAGTACCAGGTTCCTAGTTCCTGTCTCAAAACATACGTAACTAAAATTATATTGTTTTAATCAATTGTTACTGACTACACTGTATGTATTCGCCAAAAAACACTACCCCTATAGCTACCCTCCTCATCCTTACTTGTAGAAGGGTTGCTGTTTACATAGCAAAAAAGTATGTACACGAGTCTAAAATTAAAAGTATAAAAATATATTCTGAAATAAAAATATATCTGGTTTCTAGTATTGTTAACAACTATGAAGACAAGTGCTATTTCTTTACTATAAACCAATAGATTTATAAAACTGCCAGATTTTAACTTCCTAGTAAATTCTTCTCTACGACCAGAGGTTTCCTATATAGACAAGCAATATGATGCTTGTTACTAAGTCATTAATATATATTTCTATATGTAATTAAAATTTCAAAAGATATCTTACTCATAATACTAACTGGTCAACTAACAGAAAAAATTTTAACTGTCCAAGAGAAAACATTATTAATAATACTATCTTCTGAAATATACATACTCCATGGCATGGTTCAATCTAGTTAATTAACATTGTTATTACTTTACATATTGCCACTTTTTTGTGCCGAGACCACTTCTTCTTTAACAATTTTCAGAATACAATACATAGTTAATTAGTTACCACCATTATACAAGAGATACTTTAATGGCAGTTACACTCTTACCTGTCCTCTATTTCAGGTAAATGTTACAGTTAGAACCTAAAAATAACTTCAAGAGACTCAGGTATTAAGAAGATGGTTGCTATCTAACCGGCTTTTGAGTGGCAGCTGGATTCTACCTTACAGCTCTGACGTACTGGTGAATCCACTGCTCCGTGAACCTACAGGAATGGGGCCTGACTCAGGAGCACTGTGCTCTGAAATGTTCTCAAGTTCCATCCACTACACCCTTATTCCATATTGCCTCCATGCACAGGCCCAAAGACAGTGTGGCCAGGCAACCCTGAGCTGAACTATAAGGCAAAGCAAACCTTTCTTTAGCTGTTTTCCTCAGGTATTTTGTCACAGTCACAAAGAGTTGCCAACACACTATCCTAACCCATTTAGGCTCACTAAAACACTAGAAATCTAGAACCCGTGTCAGTATTTTAATGAACATTAAGTATTTCACATTCGCAGCTTTGAAAAGTAAAGAATATCCCATACTACCTTATCTTTCTAGTCAGCAAAACAGAACCTGAAGACCAGTTCTGGCCCCCACCATCTTGTAGTTTTGTCAGAACACAGCCACATCTATCCATTTATGTATGATTTATGAATGCTTCCTCATAACAATAACAGAACAGCAAGGGGGCACACAATCAAGACTGCAGGACCCTGAAAACTTTATAATACTTAGCACATGACCTTTAATATGATCACATAAGTTTCTCATCCTACATGTAGTGCATAGTTTTCATCAATAAGGCAAAAAAAAAGTAAGAAAAGAAAGAAAGAAAGAAAGAAAGAAAGAAAGAAAGAAAGAAAGAAAGAAAGAAAGAAAGAAAGAAAGAAAGAAAGAAAGAAATGAATGAATAAATAGATGGATGGATGGATGAATAAATAAATGAATGAATGAATGAATGAATGAATGAATGAATGAATGAATGAGATGGCATGTTCATCACAGAGCTCAGATGTGAGAGCTAATACAGTAACAAAAGCAACCCACCTATGATGTACTTTTCAGGGGGGAAAACCTGTTAGAATTACTATAAAGCTTTTTGTTTTTGTTTCTGTTTTTCAGGATTTCTCTGTGTAGCCCCAGCTGTCCTGGAACTCACTCTGCAGACCAGGCTGACCTCAAACTCAGACATCTGCCTGGTTCTGTCTCCCCAAGTGCTGGGATTAAAGGTGTGCGCTGCCACCACTGGCCTACAATTTCATGTTCAAAAACAATTACAAATTACTTTTAAAATAGAGTTCCATTACCTCAATTCGTGGTTTCTTTGCTTCTGCTAAAACTTCATCTGCAGCTCTTTTGACTATAAGAAAAATAAGAGTAAGTGTACAGTTGAGGAAAGAAGTTTTCATTTAATGTTCAAGATAAAGATGTGACACAGTGTACCTTGAGTGGACCGCTGAAGACCAATTTCCAGTGGAGCACTCCTATCTATGCTTGCTGATGTTGCTGAAAATGGAAAAGAAAAACCATATGAGCAGATCAGTATTTGAGCATGTATTTTACATGTTATTCCAATCTCATCTACCCACAGAAGGATCTCCCCAGATAAAATGGTTTCGAAAGCTCTATAGAAGGATTTTATTAGCAAGATGACTCAGAAGTAGAAAGTCTGTGAAAAAACAAACTATTTTCTAAAAATCTAGCTTACAAACTACTGAGACGCTATTTACAGAAGTTAATTGGTCACTCCCTTATAACACATTTTAAAAACATGCTTCCCCCAAATACTTCAATATGCACACAACATATTAACATGCAAATTTCAGTTATTCACAATTGGTAGGAAACTTCCAACCATCCTTCAAATTTTTTTTTTTATTTTTGAATGGCTCAAAATAAAACTAGTTAAAAAAAAAAAAAAAAGTACCTGGCCGGTTCAACCAAGTTTCCATTTGCCTATGTAACAAGCTAATATCTTGTATATCCTTTTACAAATATAAGAATATACTTTATTTTACCTTTTTATATATAAAGGCAGCATAATACACAGAATATTCTGAAACTTGTTTCCCACTCACAAGAGTATTCACTCAGACACCCCTTCCACACCAGTATGTAGGGTAGTTCCTTAACTTTTTTTTCCTTTTCACATCTGTGGATATCCAATTGTATGGAATCATTATAACACATTTGACTGGTTACCTATGAGTATACAGTCCAATTCTCAGTCTTTTGTTATTACAAACAATAGCATGAAGAAACTTCACATGCATATCACTTTTTACACTTTCAAGTATAGCTCTAGGATAGGGTTTCCATGTTATTTGTAATGAGCGGTCAGCAACCTCAGGAAAGATATAAACTGACACAACCAACAATGCCAACACAACCAACAATGCCAAATGCTCCCTCAGCCTCACCAGAGTTCATTGACAAACAGCAAAATTTTAGATCTTATTTCGTTTCCTTTAAATTTGTAATTTATTATAAAATAAATCATACCTACAAATTGATTTATCACCTTTTCTGTTAACTCTATGTTGACTACAGCTATTCAAGTTGTTGATCTTCCATGCAGCTATTTCCAAGATCACACATTTCATGTGTTAACTAGTTTAACTGACACTTTTTCTCCTATTCAGGAGTCGGAACATTTCCCCAGATTATCAGGGCTTTTGTTTTTTTATGATCTAAAACTTGTTTTTTTAGCAAAATATTAACTGATAGTCCCACCCTCATACACTTATGTGACACGTCATTACTTCAATACTAAGTTGTTATGTGTATTTCTAGAGTCAGATGCGTTACCATCCTACTCTACGGCCGGCCGGCCTCATCTTTGTATTTCTAATCTAACAGAACAGTTGTTTTATTAATATATATACTCACTCTCAATTTTTAAATGATTAGGTCTTAAAGTACTACACTCCAGAATGATTCTTCTCTTCTCATTGTTTTTCCTCAAATTGTTAAGGCACTCAATTTTACCACATAAAATTTAAAATTATTCAAGTGGTTCTACGGCTCCAGTAGTCTAGATTTTTACTGAGATCATGCTTTTACCTCACCTTAACAGTTAATATCTCTGTTATTAATTATAACATGCCTACAAACATGATCTTAACAGGGATTCAACCTTTTCATTGAACTAGTAACATGTTTTTACAAATTAACAAAACAAAGAGCCAGGCAGTGGTGGCGTATGCCTTTAATCCCAGCATTGGGAAGGCAGAGACAGGTGGAAACAGCCTGGTCTACACAGTAGTTCCAGGACAACCAGGGCTATACAGAGAAACCGTATCCAGAAAAAAAAAAAAAAAAAAAGCAAAATTAACATAACAACTACTTCTGAGAACTCGATTTGTCCAATAGAAAACGTAAGAACTGATGTGGATAAACAACTCACTGAGGCTCTCCCAAAGTGAACCTACTGACCAGGAGCATCTAAGACACTTAGTAAACCTGAAGAATCCTACACTCCCTTCAACACACTTTTTAATGGGAGAATTACAGTGCGCCTAAGGGGGAAAAATATTTTAATAGGTATACTAGGATTCTCATGCTTCAAATAATTAAATTTGTCTTGATTCAAAACACAAAAATAAATAACTTTTTTTTAAATCTTTCCATCTCAATTGCCTTTGCAGGAATGGAATTCCTACTCATTCTTTGTTTACCTTGTATAAAATAATAAGATTTTGCATTCTGCACAGTACCCAAATGTAACTTAAGAATAAGCATGGAGGGATAATGGTAAAGTTAGCACCTGCCACACAAACCTAGCAATCTGAGTTTGATTCCTAGAAGCTACATAAAAGTGGAGAACTGACTCCACCAAGTTACTCTCTGACCTCAAAATTCAAGCTGTGGCACATGTAACCACATACACACATACAATGGTGGGGGTGGAGGGAAACCTATAAAGAGTTAGGCACTTGCTGAATTAAAATAGCACCAAAAAAAACAAAAAAACAAAAAAAAAAAAAAAAAAAACAGTCCTGGAGATCTTCCTATTATGCAAAACATTCCCTACACACACCAAAACTATCAATTTAAAAATGGGGAACAGAGCTAAACAGAGAATTCTCTGTAGAGGAATATAGGATAGCAGAGAAACACTTAAAGAAATACTCAACATCATTAGCCATCAAGGAAATGCAAATCAAAACGACCGTGAGATTTCACCTTATAACAATCAGAACAGCTAAGATAAAAAACTCAAGTGACAATACATGCTGTAGAGGATGTGGAGAAAGGGGACCCTCCTCTATGGCTGGTGGAAATGTAAACTTATACAACCACTTTGGAAATCAATCTGGTGCTTTCTCAGACAATTAAGAATAGCGCTTCCTCAAGATCCAGCTACACTACTTTGAGGCATATATCCAAAAGATGCTCAAGTACACAACAAGGACATTTGCTCAACCATGTTTATAGCAGCTTTATTCGTAAAAGCCAGAACCTGAAAACAACCCAGATGTCCCTCAGATGAGAAATGGATACAGAAATTATGTTACATTTACACAATAAAATACTACTCAGCAATTAAAAACAAGGAAATCATAAAATTTGCAGGCAAAAGATAGGATCTAGAAAAGATCATCCTGAGTGAGGCACAAACAGTATATACTCACTTATAAGTAGGTAATAGACATATAATATAGGATAAACATACTAAAATCTGTACACCTAAAGAAGCTAAGATGATCAATCCTTACTAAGAAAGACAAACAGGGTGGACATTGGAAGAAGGAGAAAACAAAAAACAGGACAGGAGCCTACCACAGAGGACCTCTGAAAGACACTACCCAGCAGTTTATCAAAGCAGATGCTGAGGATCATACCCAAACTTTGGGCAGAGTGCAGGGAATCTTATGAAAGAAGGGGGAAATAGAAAGACCTGGAGAGGACAGGAGCTACACAAGGAGAGCAACAGAACCAAAATATCTGGGCCCAGGGGTCTTTTCTGAGACTGATATTCCAACCAAGGACCATGCATGGAAATAACCTAGAACCCCTGCTCAGATGTAGCCCATGGCAGCTCACTGTCCAAGTGGGTTCCCTAGTAAGGGGAACAGGGACTGTCTCTGATATGAACTCAGTGGCTGGCTCTTTGATCACCTCCCCTTTATAAAGGGAGGAGCAGCCTTACCAGGCCACAGAGGTAGACAATACAATAGGCTAGGGTCAGATGAAAGGAGAGGAGGACCTCCTCTATCTGTGGACTTGGAGAGGGGCATGGGAGGAGGTGAGGGAGATAGGGTAGGGCCAGGAGGGGATGAGTGAGGAGGCTAGAGCTGGGATGCAAAATGAATAATCTCTAATTAATATAAAAAAATAAAAATTAAAAAAAAAACATGAAGAATGGGTAACATAGCTGCTATTAATGGCTTATTGGTAAAAATATTACATCCTAGGGAAGATGATGTCTATTAATTTTTTGTAATACCAATTTATGTATATTCTGTAAGAAAATTACTCCTTCGCTACACTGCTGTCCTAAACTTTACTGAGTAATAAAATAAGCTACTGAAAACAACTGTTCCTTTAATGTTCATTCTCTAGTAGACAACAGACAATATCCAATGAGGCAAGAAATACTATTTCAGGTAAATATATGGTATTTGGAAAATAAATAGGATTTGATTAAATATAGACAATTATAAAGGTGAATGTCATTTTGTATTTTATATTGGTCAGATGTCTTCACTGAAAGAACAATACCAGAAGAATATTTGAGCATACATGGAAGATGAGAGCCCAGTGACAATATAGACAACTGAAGACAAAGAATTGAAAACCCAGAGGTTCTAAGATTAACAAAACCAACTGAAAAATCAATAACTGACTGCTGTGATAAAACAATGATGGAAGATGAAGTCATGGAGATTTAGGCAGAAACAAGATCATAGATTCCACACAGTAAGAAATATGAGCTTTATTCTAAGTGTGATGGAACCCACAAATGCCCTTGAGCAGGTAAATAACACAATTAAATTTAAATAATTTTTCAAAAACAAATCTTGTTAGATACAGAAAAAATACTGTAGCAAACGAAGAGTAGGAACACGGGAGGAGATTTTAGAATAGGTAAAGAAAGCAAGAGGGACAGGGTTGGAGAGGAGAAAAAAACTGTCATGGTTCTTAAGGCAGAGAAAGTACTTTTCTCTGTCATGTAGATGTGCCGTAGATGTCAGAAAATCAGGCCTCACTAGGGTTTAAGGCCTAAGTCACTGCATGTACATAAAGTACAATCACTCCTAAGATGAGAACAGACTCAGTTTTGTTTTGTGTGGGTGGAGATGGGAAGAAGTAAATTGGGCACTCTATTTTGGACATGTTAAATTTCAGATGCCTGGAAAACATTTAAAAGGAGATGACAACAGTAAAGTTATAAATATGAAGAAGAGTCAGTGGGAGAAAAATGCAGCTGACACCTGAACATGGGAGTTGGTATACTGATGGGCTCATTAAGTTGAAAACTGGTGCATAAATATGACTTCTCAAAAAAAAACTGCTCAAAAAAATTAATACACTGCTATTATGTACCAGAAGGTACATAACAATATCTAGTCAATAACCCATATTTTAGTATACTGAACAGTGATATATGGTGAAAAAATATCTAAGAACTGCTAGAAATAAATTCTTACATTAATACGCAATATTCTAAAGAGGTGATCTCATTATAAGATTACATTACAGCTTTTTTAAAAAAAAAACTACATTACATGGCATTTTAAGCAGATAACTGTGCGGACTCAGCTGACTACAAGCATAAATGGAGATGACTATGAAGCTATTAACATACTCTTTGATTTTATAGTTATGACTTAATACTGTACCTTATGTTTGTGTATATTTCTCTCAACAGTGAATGGTATTATATAGTATAGAAATATTCATAAGTATTAACTGTGTCTAATACTTTTAAATAATAAATATGAATATTTTAAATAAATATAAATAATTACATCTTTATGACATACTTTCTTTTTGTTGTACTTTTTAAGTTAGTATACAACACAATACACCTTTTTCATATTTCTTTGAGATGGGTAATGTTTTTCAAAACTATCACAAATCTAAAAACCAAAACAAAAATCCATACCACATATAACTAGACCTGTACTTATCAAATCAGTGTTGTACAAAGAACAACTGCATTTAGAATTCAGTAATATAAACAGGACAAGATATTTACAGCATAAAACTTAAGTCATCTAGAGATTTTAAGGTTACAAGAGAAAAAGAAAAATAAAGCCAAAGAAAACGTCCAGACTAGTTTTATGTCAGCTTGGTGCAAGTTGTTTGGGAAGAGGAAGCGGAGGAGTCTTCAGGAAGATTGTCTGCAGGCGAGCCCGCGGTGCAGTTTCTTGACTGGTGACGGATGTGGGAGGACCCAGGTTACTGTGGATGGTTACAACCTTGGGCCGTAAGAAAGCAGGTTGAGCAAACACTGAGGGACAAGCCAGAAAGCAGCACTCTTCCATAGCCTGTGCATCAGCACCTGCCTGGAGTTCTAGCTCGAGCTTCCACGGATGATGGACTACAACCTTCCCAAATTGATTTTGGTCACAGTGCTTCCTCACAGCATAGAAATCCTAAGACAACTAATATATTGAAAGATGAACAAACAGAAAACCCAAGGTCTAGGGTCCCAAATGCGGAGTAAAGAACTTCAAAGAAGACATTATCCAACAGTATAAAATGTTTATAGGTGAAACAGATAAAAGGAACAAAGGATGTGGCAATTCCCACGTCTCTTTGACTTTAATGGGATCATGATGATGAAAGCAAGGCATGAGGAACTTCAAGAAACAGGTAAAGAATAAGCAATGTTACTGTGTCAACTCTAAAAGAAAACTAATAAATAAAAATATGGAATCAAAAATAATTTTTCAAAAATAAATTTTAAAGAATAGATCTTTTCTACATCTATTCTAAAAGTGAATGATTCAAAAGAAGGAAGGAAACAGTAAGGCAAGACGGAAATACTTTACAGAAGCAAAGTCTGTGACAGTGAAAGGGATCCTCACACAAAGGTGCAGTGACAGCCCAAGACACCTCGCGCAGCCACCAGGAGAAGCACACAGACGCAGCTTCAGGTGAGGTGTTTAGTGGAAATACAAATTTCCCAGTACATCTGTTTTTATAGAAGGTTTAAAAAAAAAAAAAACTGTTTTAAGAGTAGGAGCAATTTTAAAACTACTCACATGCTTCCCCATTGAGATATCCAAGTAGATCTTTCCGGTCAGGTCTTCTAACCACAGGAATATTTTCAGTCTGAAGCCAAAATTTTAAATTAGATACTGAATGGAAGCAACTACAAAATTGATAAATACCGTATCTACATACCTTGGTAACATTTATTTGAAGTCACATTTGTTTAAAAAAAAAAGCTAAGAAGAATCTAAAAGCATTGAAATTTTTTCAAATGTTAATTTTCAGTAACATTTACTTTTGAAATTTCAGAAAGATACACTCAAGACACTTGTTTGAAAATAAGTAATATCTTTAATCTTTTTTCAAAGTATCAATCCCAGGCTCCTTCAACCCTTGGCTTTACTGTTATTTTTAACTGTACTCAGGATGCTATGCACATATAAGGTCCCTCTCTTTCCAGTCCCCATCGTGTCTCACTTTATACATGTCTATGTTTTTTCCTCTTACAGACCAAACCTCTTCAAACTATTCAACTGAAATTCTTTCAAATGAACTACATAAACCACTCAATATAAAATTTGATAATTAATAAGAACATGAGAAAAAAATCTATAAAAAATATTAATTCTAGTTTACCTTCTACATTACATTTCTTTTTATTCTTGAGTGTATATAAATTCAGAGAATGGAGGGGAAAAAAGATCTGATTTTTTTTTTGTCTAAAAACAAATTATCAATTTAGAAAAATGAGTAATTTTTCTTTAATCCACCTACATTCATCTTTTATAAATTTATATTTAAAGCTGGGGCTGGAGAGATGGCTCCGCACATAGAACGCTTGGTGCCCTTCCAGAGGACCAGAGTTCGATCCCCAGCACTCATGTCAAGAGGCTCACACAACCACTTTCAACTCTAGTTCGGGGGAGGAGGTAAAATTCCTCTGGCCTTCTCTCGTACCTGCACTCATGTGTACTTAGACACACACACACAGACACCTAAATAAAAATGGCAAATGTTTTTAAAAGATGATTAAAAGAAATAAAATGTACACTTCAAGCATCAAGTCATCTTTGGGCTAATGAATTTTGCCATTACCACATGTTTCTTATCATTTTTCTAATGTAAACAACAGAGTGCAAGAAAAACTGTTTGACAATGGATTACATAGATTAAAGCCTTTGGCAACTAGTATAAACAATAAAGTAATGAGAATCTTTAGCATCACTATCCAATTAGCTCACAATGGCCACTATATCACTACTCCCATTATTTGCACATACTTTTTTTTTTACTTAGCTGAACAAACCACTTTTTTTTTCCCAAAAAAGTCAAGTTAAATTCTAGTTTTTCCTTATGAGTATATGGATACAAGTTTAAAAACCTACAAGTATTTCTGTCCTTGCCATTTTTTTAACCAGCCTACATGGAATGAATATTATATAGACCTAAATTAATGTTCTTTTGGTTTTCACTTTGTTGTTTTTCAAGGCAGGGCTTCTCTGTGTAGCCCTGGCTGTCCCAGAACTCTGTAGACCAGGCTGGCCTCAAACTCAGAGATCCACCTGCCTCTGCCTCCTGAGGACTAAATTAAAGTTGTGCACCCCTGTCACCCAGCTTGAATTAATGCTTTTTAAATTACTATCTCAAAGTCTGATAAGGTATTTCAGAATCACTTGAGTACGGTTTATGTCCACATTAGAGCCACCTGAGAAGTTGCAGGTCTAGTGATACTAAAAGGCACCAGGGATCAGGAGCACCTATTCCAGGAAGAGTCACCACACCCAACAAAGAGCAAGTAACATGGCAATTTAAAAAGCAACCTCTAATCCACTGAACAACAGAATTTTAGATCTCTGCCCCATTTCATTTAAAAAAAATTATAAGGAAAACAAGTGTTACATCCTATATGACTGTTAGTCCTTGGGCCCACAGTACCAACTAGTTATGCTAGTTATGAACTATATAACCACTCACAAGATTTAATCTTAGCTGGATGTGGTGGCCAAGTTTAAGTGCCTTTAATTCCAGCACTCAGTGCCACAGAAGCAGGCAGATCACTCTGAGTTCAAGGCCAGCCTGGTCTACAAAGGAGTCCAGGACAGCAAGGCTACACAGAGAAACCTTGTCTCAAAAAACCAAAAAAAAAGAAAAAAAAAAAAAAAAACATAATCTTTAAATCACTAAGTACTTAAACTATTTAACAAACAATTTTAATTATTGCTTGATTCAGTTTTTATAAACCTAATAAAAAGTAATATAACGGTCAATTATTATTTTCCCTACTACTTATCAATTGTAAGGTTTTTAAAAATGTATTTAACACTGAATATATGTTTCTTGCTCACAAAAGCAGTTCTACTCATACCCACTAAATGATGAGCTATTTTCTTAAATGGTCCAAATAAGTTACTATTCAAAAACCTCAACTATCACTAGTTTGAAGAAAAAGTTCTAAGAGTAAATTTCACACAACATAATGCAATCCAGCAGACTATTAGACTGCCAAAAAGTAGCTTTAGTAATGGAAGGCACAATGATAATTTTATGCAGAGTCTGTTTTAAGAATTTTAAGAAATAAAAGCACTACTTTCAAATTAATACAGTACAATAAAGTGTGTCCTCATTAGTTGAAAGAACATTTAGAGTGGATATTTGATTATATGAGTATCTCCAAAATAATTCTATGTCTGACTCTACCAAGGGATCTGACAAGGACCTCATTTTTAATAAAAACTGAAGGGTTGGGGATGTCTCTCAGAAGAGTACTTGCCTAGCAGGCATGAAGCCCTGGGTTCAATGCCCAAGACTACCTAAACAGGGCATCATATCTGATTCCAGCCCTTGGGGGAAGGAGGCAAGAGAATCCAAGGTCTTCCTCAACTACACAGGCTACATGAGTATATGCATACACTGTAGGCTAACCTGGGCTACATGAGATTCCTGTATTTTCCCAATACCCAAAAAAAGTATCTGGGGAACCACCTTATTTGGACATTTAGGGCAATTCACAACATCAAACTCAAATAACTGAATCCTAATTACTTATCAACTTTTAAAAGTCCCTTGCCAGTGGAAGAATCTCAACAATCTCTTTGAAGTGAGACATTTTTAATTATTTTAAATGATTTCCTCTCAACAATGAATTTTCAAACACTGAGAAAGCAGATAAAACTGAAAATAAATAAAATTGTCAATAAAGTACAAAAAGAACTGTGTTGTTTAAAATTCTAAAAATGTATTTGTTCACATTGGGTTTTTCATTGAGAACTTTATACTTTAGTACTGAATTTACATCATTTTTATACCTTCGCCTATATGTTTATACTAAGAAAAGCATTCTTGAAATTAAACTATACTTCTGAATAAATCACAGAGCAGCTTAATTTTCACTCTCCAAGACAATTTCAGACATTTGAAACCCGTAAGGAAAGTTATCTACAACTGTTTACTCAATGAAGTTTAAAATGACTTCTACTTACAGCTGCACGTCGGACATAAACAGGATGCGAAAGGTGCACATTGTTAAGTAGGAATAAGATAGAATCCAATGTGTAGTACTCTCTGGGTTGGCCTTCCTTTCCAGTCCTAAAATGAATAAGGCATGATTTTTATTAAGATTTCTACATCAATTATTTGATTTAGTTACATGCATTCACTGTTCTGTCTGCATGCCAAAAAGAGGGCACCAGCTCTTATGCTAGATGGTTGTGAGCCACCATGTGGTTCCTGGGAATTGAACTCAGGACCTCTGGAAAAGGAGCCAGAACTCTTGACCTCTGAGCCATCTCTCCAGCCCCATGCATTCACTGATTTACATCTTGTTGGTTAACTAACAATGTATTTAACACAGCAAAAATATACATGTAACATAAACTTTCATAGTGAGTTGCTGAGGCAAAAATAAGACAAATTAAAAAAATAAAAAAGGAAGAAACAGAGAGAGCACATGTTCATACTCTAAAATACTTTGTTTCATTTTTTTTAAGACAGGTAAGATCTCTTAGCCTAGCTGGCCCCAAATGTGCTCAACAGCTGAGGATGACCGTACTGTCTACCATATCTTGTATGTGGTGCTGGCAATCAAAAGCAGGAGCTCATACAAGTTAGGCAAGCACTCTACCATCTGAGCCACATCTTCAGCCCCACCATCCACATACTTTAAAAAAGACCCAAATTGGGTTCTGGGCTCTGTCAACAGAGAAAAAACCCAAACAGCTGCACAATGGAAAGGATCATCCAGAGAAAAGAAACTGTTGAGGCAAATCTATCACTAGGGCTGCACTTAACAGATACGCACATTATCACTACTTTTAAACAAGATACTGCCATATACAACAACCTCAACAATACTCCAAAAAGTTAGAAGGATAAGCTTCAAGAGTATGATCCTAATAACAACATCTCTCAAAGTAGACCAGTCACACAAAACCCAAACCTAATTCTATCTGTGATCAAACAATGCAGTTGTCAGGATACAAAGCCCTCCAAAGCCCTCTAATGACAACACACAAGAGCTTTCCAATTCCTTCCTTCCTCCTCCATCTACTCAGGGCAAGTTACATGAATCCATTTGAATATAGCTCATTGTAATTTGTCCTAAACTACTGTCCTAGCCTTTAATATCACTTTTCCTCTAAACCAATGGTTCTCAGCCTTCGTGATGCTGACACTTTTTATTTAATACAGTTCCTCATGTTGTGGTGAACTCCAACCATAAAATTATTTTCATTGCGACATTATAACTGTAATATTGCTGCTGTTATGAATCATAATGTAAATATCTATGTTTTCCAATGGTCTTAGGCGGCCCTGTGAAAGGGTCTTTTGACAATGCCCAAATGAGACGTTTGATTAGAACCACTGCTCTAAACTGATATGTCAAATCACCTATTACTTGTTAATTATACCAAGTAATTACCATAAAAATAGCAGAAAGCACTGAACTCATTAAAAGTATTGATTAATCTTTTATACATGTACACATTTAAATATGCATACAGGTAGAAATATAACTTCTGTTGAAGATTTGATGTTGAAAGTTTTAAATGTTTGTTCTGTATTTGTTTTTCAAGACGGTTTCTCTACATAGCTCTGACTGTCCAGAAATGCAGTCTGTAGTCCAGGCTGGCCTGGCTCCTCCAGCTCAGAGATTAAGCTGTCTCTGCCTCCTTAGTGCTGGGATTAAATGCATACACCACCATGCCCAGCTAGGCAAAAGTTTCAAGTTTTTTTTCTACGCTTTGCTTTTTCACTCCTTCATGCGCATCCTTTCCAGGTCTCCTATCTTAAGTATAGAGCTCCCTCACCCTGGAAGGCTAGTCTACCAGTTCCCTCAAAAATCTTAGCCATTCTTTCAAGCTTATTCATTTGTTTATTCACTTATTCAAGAAGGCTTTGTAGAATGCAGAGGGGCGTTAAACACACTTCCATGAAACCTTCTCTAAATAGCCCCCACCTAAAAGTAAACAACACTTCCTAGCAACTAGAAAAACTTCTCCTTCAACTTAATCTCTTTCATCTTTTCTAGCCAAAATAGGTCACCCTCATGTAAAGCGGGAACCAGGTTTCGGGCTTTTTATTTTTTTCAAATTAAACTTCTTTATCCCTGAGTTTTTAAAGTATTTTTTTCATTAAAATTCAATAAAACATAATCATAATTCAATGAATTTACTTGAAAGTAAAACATGGGAAACTCAGAATGTCAATCAACATTTCAAAAAGGGAATCAATAAGTCACAAGAAATCTTAAAATTTTTTCTAGTTTTTAATTGCTCATCATTCATAATGTCATTCAATCAAGCAAAATGGGTACCAAAATTCTGACTCATCATTCTATCAAAGAGAAGCATCAATGACAGTAACATCATTAAAGAGGCCACACAGAATTATTAAACTTGATCCTCTGTGACTTTCTGAATGACTTAAAATCCATGGCATTCATGGATCAACACTCCCAAACGTTTCTTTCTTGTAAAACACTTTCCAAAAAGCACATAGGATCAGTTTCTCAGACCCGTATGTAAAACTCACTGCCTTTCACCACTAACTTTCCCCCCAACAAAGTCCTGCTTTCATCCCGAACACTGATTCTACAGACTTCCAAACTCTCCCAATCTCTTTCTTTCCTTAACTTTAAGTAGTCGTTGTCCACTCTCCTCTTTCCTTTTTTCCGGAGGAATAAAACCATCCTCTCCAATGATGAAAAAAAGAAAATTACCCGGGCGCTCCAAGAGCCAGAGGGAGACGGTTGCAACACATGGCAGCCTCTGGGAGATTTAAAAAAAAAAAAAAAAGAAGAAGAAGAAGAAGAAAACTAAGAACAAAAAGAGAGTCGGCGGCCGCCAGATGCTGTGCTTTCCGCTTCTACACCTACCGTCAGGTAGACAAGCACCAGCCCCACTGGGCTCGGACAACTATCGGTGAACACCAACTGGTGAAGTCAAAACCTCCCTTCGGCTTCTCCAACACAGAAAGGACTTGACCGCTCCAGAACCTGCTCCACCTCTTCCCTCCTCACCCTAAAAGTTCAACTCCCGCTCCAGGGAATAACTTTTTCCCCAGAGCACCCGTCTTCCCCCCATCCCCGAGAGCCTGGAGGCGGGGTGAGGTGGGGGGTAGGGAAGAGGTCGCCCGGGGGCGCCCGCCGCTGGCCCGGCCGCCGCTAGGCCGGAGCCATGCCGCACTCACCCCCAAACTACATAGTTGGTCTTCACATTCTTGGGCCAGGAGAACTCGCCAAAGATCACTTCATCCCCCTTGACCACAATCTCCTTCTTCTGGATGTTGTACTGTCGCAGGACGCTGAGCACGTCCGCCATCTTCGGGCCCCTCGCCGCCGCCGCCGCCGCCGCGGGCCCCGGGCACCGCCGCCGCCGCCGCGCCCGTCGCCTCCTTTCGCCGTCGCCTAGCCCGCTCCCCCCCGCGCCGCCGCCGCCGCCGCGAACCAACAGCCGCCGCACTAACAGCCGTCCGCGTCTACGCCAGCAGCACGGGCAGTAGCTACCCAGGCCGCCAAGGACCCCGCGCTATATAAGGCAAGGCCCCGCCGCGGGCTGCCCGCGGAGAACGCCTGACTGACTGACCCGAGCTCCGCCGGCGCCGCGGGCCGCCGCCAGGGGGCGCTGCGGCCGCCCGCGCCGACGCGCCTCCCAGACGCCCGCGGGGCACGCCGCCGACACCGGGGAACCGGAGCGCCGTCCACGCCGCTCGCCACCCGGTGCCCGGTGCCCGGCGCCGAGCTTCAGCGGAACCGCGCCGGCCGCGGGCTCCATGGCTCGCACCGGACAAGTGACAGGTGCGCGCGCACCTGATGGGCGCTTCCGTACATCCCCTCCTGGAGCGCGCGCTGGGTCATTGACTCTCCCTGCGCGAGGCTTCTGCCTCTCGTAAGGCAACTTGCGGAACCATAGAGCTCGCTACCTCTCTGTCTGCATCCGACCCACACTCAGAAAGGTCTCTGGGTCCCTGTGGTCAGGACAAGCTACTCCAGAAAGCTGGGGCTTTGCGGTGTGCTCGTCTTGAAGTTTGGGTTTGGTTTTAGTTAGAGATGGATCAACAGAGGAAAAGAAGAATTGGGTGGAGAACGATTCAAGCACCATTTGTTAGCCGCTGGTCTCTTGACATCGCTTGGTTGATGGGCAGAATACAATAATTAATTAATACAAGAATAAATTAATACAAGAATGAGCTAAAAGCATCCTAACGCGTCGACTAAAACAATAAATTGGTGACTCTTCACACTCCTTGCCTTGGAAATAACTTTTTCCATTTCAGCAACTATTCCCAGAAAAGCCAGAAATGGTTCCAGGTTATGAATGGAAGAAATACTCCTTCAGAAACCTCAAACTGTGAATTAGAACACTTTCAGACAACCAGATTTTGTTTTGTTTTGTTTTGGTTTTGGTTTGGTTTGGTTTGGTTTGGTTTGATATGGTGTTTCAAGACAGGGTTTCTCTGTGTAGCCCTGGCTGTCCTGGACTCACTTTTTAGACCAGGCTGGCCTCGAACTCAGAGATATGCCTCCCTCTCCCTCCTGTGTGCTGGGATTAAAGGCATACACCTGGCTCCAGAAAACCTGATTTTTAAGTGGCACTCAAAAGGCTTGCTGGTGTCCTGATGGTTATAAAAACCTAAAAATCAATCCCGCATACCGAACATAAACTGTGTATCTTAAACAAACATATACCTCAAGCCGAATATTTCTTTTTCACTCCCCTTACTCTATGAGGAGGCACAACTTTGTGGTTGATATAACCAAATTTCTTGACCTGTTTTGAAAACCAAATGAACTTTTGTGGCAAAGGGTACCTTGGCAATGGAAGTATGAGGTAAAAACTGTCTGTTCCACAAATGTTGACTTCCCTTCAATGTGTCACTGCAACCTCACGGCAAACACAGGCTATAAAGGACTGCCTGTGCTTGTCTGCCTGGTTCACATCTCCATATTTATTCCTATATCACAACATTCAGTATTTCCTGGAAAGTAAATCTCATCAAAGAAACATGAGTGATCAAAACACAGTAACAGACCAGACAACACAGAGAAACCCTGTCTTGAAAAACCCTGTCTCAGCCAGAAGTGGGGGTGCACGCCTGAAATCCCAGCACTTGAGGGACAGGTGGATTGCTGTGAGTCCAGAACAGCCAAGGCTACACAGAGAGAAACCCTTTCTAAGAGAGAGAGAGAGAGAGGGAGGGAGGGAGGGAGGGAGGGAGGGAGGAAGGAAGGAAGGAAGGAAGGAAGGAAGGAAGGAAGGAAGGAAGGA